AAATACAAATTTCTTATCAAACACGTAATGAATATGAGTACAAACTACATAGGTTGTGCTACATAACGTTATCTTTAACCTATCCTTAATATTATCATCATCATCGTCATCACCCATCATAATCATCATTCTTATCATTATTGTTGTCATTGATATTATTTCTATCATTATCATTGTTGTTGTTATCATTGCTATCATCATTATTGTTGTTATGACTATTATCCTTATCATTATTGCTAATATCATTATCATTACTACTGTTGTTATCGTTATCACTACTTTTATTATGATCAGTATACTCATTATTACGAAAAGGAAAACAGAAACAAAAAGAAATAAAATAAATTGATTTATCTTAATTTCTTATTATGTCTGTTTTCCTTTTCATCTTCGTGTATACGTTTACCGTGTGTGTGTATTATTATCATTGTTATTATGATTATGATTATCATTGATATTGTTGTTATTATTATCATTATCATGATTTATTATTATTATTTATTATTATTAATCATTATTATTATTATAATTATTACTATTACTATTATTAAATATTATCATTATTATTATTATTATTATTATCATTATAATTATTTCTATTATTATCATCATCATCATTGTTATTATGATAATTATTATCATTACTATTATCATTATTATCATTATTATTATTATCATTACTTTTATCATCATTATCATTACCACTATTATTATCATCAAACATCATTTCATTATTACAATTCTTCATAACACTATTAGTAGTAGTAGTTGTGATAATGATAATAATTTTAGTGTCATCATTAGCATCACTGTCATGTCACTGTTAGTCTCATTTTCATCATCATTATTGCCAATGGCCAATGATAATCATAACATTATTTTACCATTATTTACCATCGTTACTACTACTGCTTCTTCTATTGCTATTCCTAGGACTACCATCGTTAGTATTATCATTAATTATTATTGTTATTATCATTATTATTATTACTACTACTGATATAATAATAGTAATAATAATCACCATTATTGTTATTATTACTATTATTGATATTATTATTATCATCATCATTATTATTAGTATTTTTTCGTTTTATTATTAGTAGCATCGTTATCGTTATCCTTATTATTATTGTATTATTATTATTGTTGTGTCGTTGCTGTTGTTATTATCATTATCATTGCTGTTATCGTTATCATTAATCATCATTATTGTTGTTATTATTAACAATATTAGCTTTCATATCATCATTATTATTTTTATTATTATCATGATCATTGTTCTTATTCTGCTTATCATCATTAGTGTATTTATCCTTATCATTATTATTTTATTATTGTTATCATTAGTATTATTATCTTATTGTTGTTATCCTTATTATTATTATTTCATTACTGTTATCATTATCATTATAATTATCATTATTGCTATTATCCTTATCATCATTATCAATGTATATCATCACTCTGTAGCTCTGACCATAGGTTAGTTGTACCAACCCCCCCCGCTCCCCCTCCCTTCTCCCCCAATGGCCACACCAGGTAATTCCACTTGGACAGATTGAGGAAGTAGGAGTGAGTACGGGAGTTGGCCCGCAGCTGTCTCTTATCGGTTCACAGTCCTCGAAAAATCTGGCAGATCCTGTAGCTCTTGGGGAAATCCTGTAAGTGAGAAACACTCGATGCAGCCCCAGGCCCCCAGATTCTCGAATGCGTGAAGGCGCCGGATCTCCTTCAGGCGCCTTAATTTAAGGCCGAGCGATCTTCCATGCCCATACACAGAGCGAGGACCCGCCATATTGGCGGTGGAGGCGCCCTTAGGTTAGGCAGGGAGAGCAGCCTTTAGCGGGCGGGAAATCAACACTCTTCGCTCTTAAACAAGGAAAATGCAGCAGGACGGTTAAAGGTGCTGTCACACTAGCACTTTTCCGTTAGTTTTTTTGACAATTTTCTGAAATTTTGTCCATTTTTGAGCGAATTGTCGATTTTCCAGTCAGACGACAATGATCGTTTCACGTCTGAAAACCTTTCCGTCAACTTTTTTCAGCCCAAGCATAGTCAAATCAAGAGCTGTATTCCGAGAATGTTTGTATTCACTTAAAAATAAAATTGTCAAAACATAGACGGAAAAGTGCTCGCGTGACAGCACCTTGAGGCCTCCACCGCGCCTCAACTTAAGGCTCTTTTGAGAATCCGACCCCAGGAGTCCCTTGGTCAAAGCCCGAGGACGAGGCAGAATTTCATCTTTTTAGAGACATTGGAGGCCGCTAATACGTGTCGCGTTGTCATTATTTTCATTGTTGTTATCATTATCATTATTATCATTATTATTATTATCATAATTATTATCAGTACCATTATTATATTATCATTATTATTATTATTATCATTATGATTATCGGTATTGTTATGTCTTTGTAATTATTATTATTGTGTTTATCCTTGTTATTATAATCGTTATCATTATCATTACTGTAATACCATTATCATCATTACTTTTGTCATTATTTTTTCATCATTATTACGACTATTATTATTATTGTTATCATTATTATCATTATCATTGTCAATATTATAATAATATTTTGTTATCATCAATATTATCATTATCATCTTTATTATTGTTGTTATTCCTACTATTATCATTATTATAATAATTATTAGCATTATTATTATTATTATCACTATTATTGTCATTATCATTTTCATTATCATTATTATGATAATCATTACCATCATCATTATTATTATCATCAATATCATTTTCATTATTGATATTGATATCTTTATCATTATTATTATTATTATTATTACTATTATTATTATTACCATCATTATTGTTGTTGTTGTTGTTATTATTATTATTATTATTATTATTATTATTATCATTATTATTATCATTATTATTATTACTATCATTACCATTATTATCATATATTATTGTCGTTGTTATTATTATTATTATTATCATTATTATCATTTATTATTATTTATCATTATCATTTGTAGTATCATTATAAATATTACCATTATTATCTCTATAACTATTGTCCTTATTACTATTATCATTATTATCATTATTATTATAATTATTATCATTAGTAGTATCATTAATATCATTATTATTATTATCATTGTCATTATTAACATTAATTGTAGTAGTAGTAGTTGTAATAATACCATTACTATTATATTTTTCATCATAATTATTATCATTATCAGTTATTATTGTTATTATCATTATTATTAATCATCAGCATCAGATTCATCATCATCCTGTTTATCATTATTATCATCATTATTATTGGTATTATTATCATCATCATCATTTTTCAATATCATCATTATCATCATCAATATCTTTACTACTATTATCATAATTATCATTATTATTAATATTTCTATTATTATTAATATGATTATCATCATCATCATTATTATCATTAACATTATCATTATTATTGATATTATTATCATTATCAATATTATTATTATTATTATTATTATTACTATTATTATTATTATTATTATCATTATCCTCATTATTATTATTACTATCATTACCATCATGATAATTGTTTTGATCATTATCATCATCGTTGTTATTATTTTCAATCATTATTTTTATTATTACCTTATTATTGCCTTTTATATATATTACTTTATTATTATTATCATTATTATTATTAGTAGTAGTATTGTTATTATCATTATTACTATCGTTATTATTATTGTTACAATTATTACTATCATTATTATTATTATCATCATTATTATCATTTTATCATCATTATTGTTATTTCTTATTGTTATTAGTATTATTATCATTCTTATAACTTTAATTTCATCATTATCATCATCATTATAAATATCAATATTTCATTATATGATTAACACCCTTACATCACCATTATCTTTATTGCTATCAGTGTTATTTTCATTATCGCCATTGTCATCATGATTGCCATTATGATTACTTCTTGTTATTGTTTTCTTTATCATTGCCATTGTCATTGGTACTTATATTACAGTCATCGTCATTAACATTTTTAGCATTGAATTCCCATCCGTACTTTTCCTGTTGTCAATAACTTTCATATTCATTATCATTTCAAATGTTATGATTTTGAATTCATCGGTTCCGACATGTGTGACTAATGGAGCGGTGTTTTCAGTAATGTTATTTATCAGTATATTAATATCATTCTTATTTCAACTCATCCCAGTGCACTGTAATTATGTAATGTATAATATTCTTGTGATTTTTTCGATAGTTGAACGACCCGCATGAAGACGCTCTTTTATTTTCATGACGAGAGGAAAGCCTTTTGAAATAAAGATATTTCATATAGTTTAGCACTAGAGGCTAGTAATTACTTGAATGTAATATTTTTGATATTCAAAGAAAATATCATATAGAAATAATTTATCGTCTCCTTCTACATCGCTTTTGAAATATATAATATTGGAACATTAGTTGAGACTTGGTATTATATGACTACGGACCCGGGCATTTTTCATGATATTGTTAGAATTATTCAAAGTCGATATCTATTTTTAAGTATTGATAATAATGAATGCTATTTTAATTTTCGTCTGTGTGATATATTTGGAGGATACATGACTTTACCCAGAAAATATGTATATGAAATATATCCACGACACACGTGAAAACCATTTCTCTCGTCACGCAATCAAAATTACAGTTCTCCCTAAATTGATATAACAAACTGCGCCCCTAAATTAATTCAAATGATCACAAAGAATGAATGGAGAAACGAACGGAGTCCAAAGTAATTCAATACGCCATGCCGTTTTATGCAATACGCAACACACACCTGCAACACTCTGCTGAACTGCTCACTCAAAAATAACAAAAGATATATTACATTTAAACCTAATCAATTAGAAAAAAACAAGGAACACATTTATTACTTTCCAAAGTAAAAAATCATCATCATAACATCCTTTAATCCCGAAGTAAAAATTCCTGGAAATGGCGCGGGAGGGAGGCCAGTACGGAGACGGGTTCCATGGGGATGTGTTGTTGTTGAATTGATGTTGCAACTTCCTAAAAACACGAAATGCCGCTGCAATTGCAAGGAGGACAGATGCAGGTGAGTTGCAGAGGGAAAGAGGAAAGTCCAGAGAGGAGGAGAGAGTGAGAGGAAGAGAAATTGGAGGGAAAAAAACAAAGATTATCGGGAGGAGAGAGGGAGATGGTGATGAATGTTTTGGTTCTGTGTTTTTCTTATAATTGTTTTTTCGCGATCTGAGGCTCATTCTTAGGCCTTTTTTGCTCCCTCATTCTGTTATTTGGGATTTATGAGAGCAGTATCGTTCCAGAGGATTCAGAAAACTAATTTTGAAGGTATATAGACGTGGGAAGAGAAAATGATTCTTGAAGAAATCCGTATTTCTTTATGAGAGATTTAGGATTTTTGAAAGGAGTGTTTCTTTTACCGGCAGCCGGTCGGTGGATTTAGAAAAGGATTTATAGGGGAATATACATGATATCTTGATAACCAAAGCTGTGCTGTACTCTACGGATAAAACTCACTGGTAGAAGACAGTAGATGACAGTAGATAGGCCAGTGCTTGTTTACCTAAGAATATAAACATGCCACATGCACTGCAAATTTCGGGTTATTGTTGTACATTCCACTAGTGACGTATGTTTGGATTTTTGCAAATTTCAAAGTTTTTAAGGATTAAAACTATAAGAAAGTTTCTATTGTGACAGAAAGGTTATAAATGAAAATAAAATGTTATAATTTCCCAACCTTTGATATTAGTATCTTATTTATGATTGAAGCAAAATCATACTCCCAGTATTCATGTCAAAGACCCCTTAACAAATCATCAAACGGAGAGTCCTATTTATCTCACGTTTTTACTCTTTTCATAGATTCTTGGAGAGATTCTTTTTTAACTGTTATTACTATTAGTATTGTTTATAACATTATGGTAATCATAATGTCAACAATAATGATAATGACATTAATATTAAGAGCATTAGAACCAATTGCCTCCTTGGGGGCAGAGCACTTGTGGAACCATCTATGTGCAACCAATAATTACAAAATAAAATTACTGTAGACAGTACAATTACCTGGCACCATCGCATTAACATCATCATTACATAATGATGTTAATGCAATGGAGTGCACGAAAAAAATTTAGTTTCCCCTGTATCCCAATAGAAAGAAAAGATGTGTATATATATTGAAAAGACTTTTATTATTTTTTACAATAATTGTAATAGGACAGGAACAGTAATGGTAAAATATTTGTAGATTGATTTATAATGGCGGGTAAGAATGAAAAATGATTGGCACTTGAACCATAAAAGGCCAAATTATCGTTGAGCTATTGGTGCTCATTTGCCATTAGAGATATTGATAATGCCATAAGGACCACATGTCAAACAAGGTTATCATTACGCCATATCCTTTTACTTCATAAGTTAAAGAGAGAAATATCTGTCATTGTCGTTGTGACTGCTTTACTAAGTGTGACAGTGTTAGAAACTTTTGACACTAAGTAATAAATCAAATAATGGTCAGTGGTGATTAATTTCTGAAGATTAAAGTGAAGATTATCCATTTGTGAGTTGGATGGCCTGTGTGATTAGTCTCCCGCAATTTTTCTGCTAATTCTGATAATTTTCTTGTTTTTAGATGAATTTTCTATGTCTTTTGGTAAGTTTTTACTGATAAAAAAAACTAAAGTAATGATCATTATCATAAACTGGGAATCTCTGCCTTGCCAGAATATACATGAGGGAGGGTTGTTGGCCTCTGCTTTGCTTGAGCACAAAGTGTGAAAATTAGTGTTGCTTGATCCAGTTATAGTCTAAACATTTACCCATTTCTCTTTTTTAATGTTTTCTTTCATTCCTTCAGCATTACTGATGTATTCCACTCTTTCTACTATTAGTATATATAGGAAGTATTGTGTGTAAACATCTGTATCCCACAAAGTGGACCCCAGTGATAGGGGAGGATGCAAAGTGCAACAGGATAAGATATGAAGAAAATTTATTAATATGCATGAAGATGCATATCTTGTCAGCTAATCATCTATTGCATAGGCCTGTGTCCTTAGCAAGTCCCCAAGGAAGAATGGCATCCCGGAAGAAAACATCCTCAAAGATACAGTAGTATGGATGGAGTCATCCTGCTATATATGCATAGAGTATGTTTTCCAGGTTGGCGGTTTGAGAATGCAGTCTCTCCTTGGGGGGTTAATAAGGAATGCACCCACTGTAGATGATTAGCTGCTGAGCTTCATGTATTCCATTCATTATCTTTCATAATTTATTCTGCCCTTGCCCTGTTATACTTCATATCCAGGAAAGACATATTACCATTAGTTGACTTTGTCCAGGATTACTATTTTCTAATTTCTTTATATATACTGTTCAGAGCTTTTAGATGTGTCTGCGGTTACAAGATCTAATTATACAGATGATGGTTATTATTCTATTATTTTATAAATTATTTTTATTGTTTGTGCCATAAGTGTTTTGTGTGTTTTAGGTGCGTTACTTTCTATATGAAACTAAAAGCATTTTAAGCAGGGAAAGTTCTTGCCTGAAATCTCAAGCCTTTTTCTTGCTCAAGCATTTCGCTTGCTTTCTCAAGCGACCTCCGTAGATGGCTAGACTTGTGCTTGCTAAGTCAAGCGGTGTACCGTCACCATGGCAACAGCGTCGGTCGCGTACTGTACTGGTCACGATCCTTCGAATGCAGGCGTTGGCCAGGAACTCCGCTTAATATCTTATCAGATAAATAATTTTTTCACGGTATCTGATTCTGTAATTTTCCTAAAATCATATTCAAAGAAATTGAAATTAACTGAAAACGAAAGGAGATAATGGAGATTATGGGAATAAAAAGTGTTTTACTTATAAATAATATGTCATTATAAGACAAACAATTTACCTCTTACTGTTAAACTCCTTGTCTCTCTAAATCGAGAATATATCTGCTATTCTTTGAAATAAAGAATATTTTAAGTGAAAAAAGTCTGAGAAATTCTAGCAACATTCTTCTGTTGATATTATATTCGATTTGTTATATTTAACCTCATAAAATCGGATATATGGGAATGTGTAGGCCTATATTTTAATTCAGGGATGTTCATTTGTTTTGATAACGCGTCAGAATGAAAGGGCTGCCAATCGGAAGTGTGTGTCATTGTTTTAGAGGCACTTTATATGAATATAGGAGAAAATATTGCGCTTTGTTAAGATGTTTGGGTAGATTTACTCTGCCATCTTATATGCGGCGCTAGCTTGTCAGTTGTTTTGAAATGTGCGCTCAAACTGTTACCAACCGCCAATGGAATAAACTCCACTCTCGATTTATGCATTAGTTATCTCTTTCCGAGATTGTTGGTGGGAATACTTGTCTATTGCTTTTAAAACCCGAGTATGTATATGCTGTGTGTTATTTTGACATTTCTATGTTCTCCAATGACTGTTATGATTTGTACTTTATAGAAAGACACTTCCACATGTCTGGCATCACTGAACAGGGCCTGCCTGCCTTGGAAAGCGTTTTAAGCAGAGAATGGTACAGTTCTTTGCCTATCGGCAAGAGTTCTTGCTCAAGTGCTCCCCTGCTTAAAACACTTTTAAGATAGTGTCACCCCTGTGCTGTATTCAGATACCATGTGCCATAAGTGAGAAAATTACTACTTATGCCAGAATAAGTTTTAGACAGTTCAACTATTTTCAATATTCCTGTAGCACAGTATGCTCCCAATAAAAGTCATTAATATGAAAAAAGTCTACTAATTTTTAGCATATAGTAAGATGCAAGCAAGTGCTTAGATGAAAGGAAAAATTGTAATAATGCCACTTTCTACCAAATGTATAGAGTTGCCAAGAGTGCATGCCAGTACGAGGGGGCGGGTGGACAGGTATTGTGGTATCATGTATTTGCTATGGCTGCTAAGTCAGCTTATTGTTATTAGATATTTTGAAGTGATCATTAAGCTTTTTTCCTGATTATGTCATTTTTACTTGATATGAATAAATATTTTGTTTTTAACTTATAGCCTGAATAAATCTTATGATGTTGATATATATCTGTATCTGCATGGGTGGAAGTGTAGGTGTGGGTGTGATTAGGTGGATGAGGAGGTAGGTGGATATGGATGGAAGGGTGGGTGACTTAGTGAGCATATGAGTTTATGTATTTGAGCAGATAAATGTCTGCTTTGACCTGTGTTGGTGTTCAAGTAACCCTTGGATGGAGTATGAGAAAAGTAAAATGTTTCATTCTACATCATTTAATGACAAATATATCAGAAATAATAGTATACATTTATGTTACATGTATTTTAATGTGTATGCTTATGTACAAGATTATCACTTTTCGATGCCTTGCAGACAGTCTAGAAATAACTGTGCAACACCCACTCAAGAGCATTCTTTTGATGAATCTAAATTTTGATTTTTGCCTTGTGAAATGTCAGTAATGATTAACCCACTTACGACGGGTGTTACACATATGAGACACCTGGAAATTAAACATTACCGGGTGTCCCGCCCAATAATGTTTACTAGTGGTGTGATGCTAGGTCTGAGCTTGCACTCTGATTTTCTTGCCCATGGCGGGTGGTGCGCAGACAGATTCCCATGTACTGATTTTGAAGCCACCCGGAAAATATTAATTTTCGTCTAGAAAATGTACTGTTGCTAGTGGATTAAGAAAGAACGAAAATATGAATTTATCATTAAATGAAATTGTAGGAATGTGGATGAGTTTGGACTGTGTTGTGTGGTGGATGAACATAGAATATTGTGGGACCCTTCAGCAAAGAAATACCTCATATATATAGAATTTTATTAACAGTACTGAACCAGTGTGTTTTACCTTTAGTAATGTTATAATACTTGGATACTTTCTTTGAATGTCTAAATATGACCTTAGTTTCTCTCAGATTAATTGAGCTTTCAGTAACATTCCATGCTTGATGCTAAATGAATTTGCCTACCAACGAACAACCATTTTATGCGTAGAAATGTGTTAAAATATTGAGTAAAGGTGTTTGGGATATGATAACTGGAAAAGAAACTTTAATTTGGTACGATATTCTGTGGTTACATCCATTGTAATGAAAGTATTATTGATGATTGCCAATTTTTTTTTTTTTTTTTCAGAACAATGTAGAGCCAATGGTAATTGATATGGCCGTAGAGGAAAATGACAACACGGAAGAAGAGCCTGTTATTGTGGAGAGCACGTCCTTGGTGAGTAACAAGTCAGATTTGTTCTTGGAAGACGTGTCGCTCTTTGTTTAAATGTATGCCATAAAGTTTTGGTTGATATATTTGTGTGTGTTTGTATTCGTATTTATGTATATATTATATTTATATTTTATTTTATTTACATTTACATTTATATATTTACATTTATATATTTACATTTATATATTTACATTTATATATTTACATTTATATACCTACATACCTACATACCTACATACTACATACCTACATACCTATATACCTATATACCTATATACCTATATACCTATATACTATATACCTATACCTATATATATTATATATATATATATATATATATATATATATATATATATATATATATAATATTATATATTTATTTATATACACACACTATCATACTCACACTCTCACTCTCACCCTCACTCTCTCACTCTCACTCTCACTCTCACTCTCACTCTCACTCTCACTCTCTCACTCACACTCACTCTCTCACTCTCACTCTCTCACTCTCACTCTCTCACTCTCACTCTCACTCTCACTCACACTCTCACTTACACTCACTCTCACTTACACTCACACTCACACTCACTTACTCTCACTCTCACTTACTCTCACTCTCACTCTCACTTATACTCTCACTCTCACTTATACTCTACTCACTCTCACTCTCACTCACTCACTCACTCACTCACTCACTCACTCACTCACTCACTCACTCACTCACTCTCTCACTCTCTCACTCACTCACTCACTCACTCACTCACTCACTCACTCACTCACTCACTCACTCACTCACTCACTCTCTCACTCACTCACTCACTCACTCACTCACTCACTCACTCACTCACTCACTCACTCACTCACTCACTCACTCACTCTCTCTCTCTCTCTCTCTCTCTCTCTCTCTCTCTCTCTCTCTCTCTCTCTCTCTCTCTCTCTCTCTCTCTCTCTCTCTCTTTCTCTCTCTCACACACTCTCTCTCACACTCTCTCACTCTCTCACTGAGTGATATACTGGAAATGGCTTACTCTTTTTGGTAAGAGTTGCACACATGAGTAGAAGTAAACATGATATGAGACTGGTCAGTGCTGGGTGGATCCTTGGCCAGCTTGGCCTGGCGAGGCATTGACGCGGTTAGCAGGGAGGCTGGGTTGCTCTCGGAGAGTGGGTGAGACTGAGTAAGGCCTAGTTCAACCTGCCGATGAACTTTTATACTGCAGGTTGCGATCCAGGCTGGCTTGGGTTATGTTGACCTTTTATACTGCCGGTCGCAACCAGGCTAGTTATATTTAGGTGGAGGCCGACAGCCATCGCTCACGCAGGACCCACATGGGCACAAGCGGGCCATACACTCACTCACTCACTTAAACTTAGACTCACACTTGCACTCGTATATTCTTTATTTTTTAATATGTGTTTTTAATGATAAGGATTTTTTTGCTTTGATTTATAAGCTTAAATGAAATATGCTAATTATTTTCTCATGTTTCTCAGGACCTTGAGACATATGCCAACAGCTACACGGGTTTAGCAAAACTGCAGCGTCTCATCTTTATAGCTGACCGATGTCCTCAACTTCGTGTAGAAGCCCTGCGTATGGCCATACACTATGTACAGACTACATACAATGTCAACCTATACACACAACTCCACCGGAAGTTGCAGGAGGCAGTAAGGTATGTGGTCTTCTGGTATCATTTATATTACTTATATTTAAGTAAAATAAATAGAGTTACTGTACTGGGACCAATTTTGATTTCAAGGGCCTGTCCATGACCATTTTTATCAGTTTTTGTTTGATTTTGAAGCAAATTCTACATCTGAGACATCAATTTTGTTGTGAAATTTGCTTCATGCTGTATCATTTCCCCTATCTGAAGAAATCGGTGATGAACCAGTATGAAAGTATGAGGACTTGATGGGAACTAGTATCACAGAAAAGTAATGTAAACCCAGTTTATTGTTACCAGATCTTTAGCCAATTGTTAAATCTTGTGTAAGGCTGCTGGAGTCAGTGTGTTGCCCTCTGGCTACTTAGAGTCTGTTAAGTACTTGTTCTTGAGGATATATTTAACCCATTAACGGCGGTATATTTTGAAGCCGAAAATAAAAGTTTCTGGGTGGCTACAAAATTGGCGTGCGGGGCTGGCCCGGACTCTGCCCGCGCGCTGGCTGCGTCCTGCTGCTGAGTCGGAGTGCAAGCCCTGTTACAGCGTCACACTGGCGGGATGCCCGGCAATTTTTTTTTTTTTTTTTTTTTTTTTTTTTTTTTTTCAGGGTGTCTCATATGTGGGACACCCATCGTTAATGGGTTAATAGCTATTTTGATCCTCTAAGGTGCATCAAGGACAAAGTTTATCTCATAAATGGTCAAGATTGCAGTCTTATGCTGAAATCAATTCATTGCAATTTAGAATACTTGTGTGGTAGATGCTTGTATTATGTCCCAAGCAGAGAAATAGATACAATATACCAGATACATAGCCAACCTCAAACATGTTATTTGAAGAAGCTTCCATAATATGAAAATGAGTCATAACATTAGTATTTTGCCCATGAATGTGTCAGAATATATAAACATTTAGCCAAAATGTCAATCATATAAAAAAAAGCTAAAGAAAATGATATTGCTATTTTCTATGGTGGTGTGAATTTCAGTTAAGTAGTTGAATATTCTTGCTCATATCTTTCTTTTAGGATATGTTCTGTTCTGCAACTCACTATACCATTTTTTTTTTTTTTTTCCAGCGGAGCAAATGCAGGGAATGCTAGTCTACCAGATATAGCTGGGGGTCAGGTAGGAGGGGGTTCTGTGGCAAACCTGCCTGCCCTTGACATGCAGTGGGTCGAATCTCGTGCCAAAAAAGCTGCACTGAAGCTCGAGAAGTTGGACACAGATTTAAAGAATTCTAAGGTAAGCATGTCTTCCCAGGAGAGGGTGTGGATGTGCGTGAAGTTGAGGAAGGAGATTTTGAGTAGGTTGGTTGCCATTCATTTATTTAATTTTTTTTCCTTTTTCATTCAGAAAAGCTTTTTTGTGTATGTACTCAGTGCATCATCATTTGCAAGATGCTGAAAATGCTATAGGAAAGTTTTTAGTAATTTTTCCCTCCCAGAAAATGTTGAGTTGGAAAGAATAGTGTCTTTCTGCTCTTGTGCAGGTCATAGTCTCTGAATGATAAAGACTGTATTCAGAAAATTTGTGGCTAAGTTGTGTATGTTCAAGAAATAGCTTTCCTATATTTTGCATTTTTGTAAGTGGTAAAAATGTGATTCTTTTTAGCTTTTGCATTATTTTGAGAAAGTTGTGCAGAAATCACAAAAAATGAATTGACATGTCTTGATTAAAGTCTTTTTGAATGTAATGTCACTATTCCAATCTTCATTGGTAAAAATGTTGAAATTCGCATATGGGCAGACTATTTTTTCATTCCTCTCCTCCCTCATTTAGGTACTCAGAAAAATGTATTGAATTTTTATGAGGAATTGATGAAATAAGTGAATTTATCTTATAAAATGTATTAAATTTCCTTTGAATGACTTCCTGAGAATGTAGAAAAAAAGTTCATAACTAAAAGATTTAATAAAATACATGCACCTCAGACTTGGCAAATTTTCTGTTGAAGGTAGACAGTACCATTACAGAAGAGAGGCCTTTTTATACAAATCTCCTAAAATCTCTATGTAGCTTTTTAAGTTCCAAGGAAGCTTTATTGGGACTGGTTCAGAATATATGAATTTGTCTTTTTCTTTCCTAAAGGTTAAAAATATCAAGGAATCAGTGCAAGGTGTATTTTTTCCCCTTTCTCTCTTTTTCCTTCATTGAAGACCAATTTACAAAGAACTTGACACAAGACTAAAATGACCTCACCTCTCTCACTCTCTCTCTCTCACCCACACAGGTTAATAGTATCAAGGAATCCATTCGGCGAGGTCATGATGACCTTGGCGACCACTACCTTGATTGTGGTGACCTCTCCAATGCCCTCAAGTGTTACTCACGCGCACGGGATTACTGCACTTCCTTCAGACACATTATCAATATGTGTCTTAATGTGATTAAGGTAGGTATTTAAGGAGTCTATTGATGTTGCTTTGGGGCGACAGTTTTTTTTTTTTTTTTTTTTTTTTTTTTTTTTTTTTTTTTTTTCTTTTTTTTTCTTTTTTCTTTCCTGAATTTTGTAAAGCAAATATGTCAGTTTGGAGTTCATAGTTATTTGATTAATTTCAAAGGACTAAGAGCTGAGTTAGAATAGATAGATTAAGTTAATACAAATGAACACATTTAGTTTTTTTTGTTTTTTAACCCTTCATCACTAATTTGCTTTCCACAATGTCAACAACCATTTCTCTGCTGTACAGACTTTAGCATTCCTATTTCCATTTTGTGTACTCTTTGTGATTTTTTTTGATGATTACATAGACCCAACAACACTTTAGAATTTGATAAATGATAATAAGAAGTAAAGGGGAAAAAGATAAAGATCAACCCCTACAATCCAGATGACATATGGTCCCGTCATGGAAAAATCTGTGTCAAGGGCCGTGTGATGTGAACATGCTGTCATCAGACAAAACGGCTGCGGGCCGTGTGAAGCGATCTTGACATCATGAACAAAGGCCAGGGTGACCAGAAAGATTTGCCATGAGTGCACAAATCTCTTGGAGTGTGATTAGACTCATTTGGTGCTTAAAAGAGGCATTTGCATAATTCCCATTGGTAAACGAAGAGCATCAAATGTGCAGCATTTCCATGCTACACATCATATTCCTGGCTGCTGTGGTGCATGTTGTATTAAAGGAAAATTGAAGATTATGAAAAAATAAGTTACATGACACAAATTACCAAATTTTCCTTTTTTTTCCTGCACTGAATTATTTGCTACATAGAAAGATGATATGGAGTCTGTGTAAGGAAAATAAGCTATTACCATCTGGATAAAGGAAATGAAAAGACAAATATGGACATTTGAAGTTTAC